TCAGGGCTAGTGCTGGGCAGGACATTTAAAGACAAGAATGTTAATACTTCTCATATCTACTTCTATTGAGTCAATATTTGAAGACAACAACATTAACATTTGAAACAAAGGACACATAGAAGAGGTATTTCAGGACTCATCTTGATGTCTTCTTCCTTTTTTATTATGATATAATCCTCATAATGTTTACATTTTTAAAGAGTATAATTCATGGTTTTTAGTATCTTCACAAAGTTGTGCAACCATCATGACTATCTATCTCCAGAACATTTTAGTCTTCCCGAAAAGAAACCTTATACCCATTGCCACTCACCCCTGCACCCCTCTCTCCCAGCCCCAGACAACCACTAACCTATTTTCTGTCTCAATGGATTTGCTTCTTCTGACCATTTCATATAAATAGACTCATGCAATATTTTTCCTTTTCATGTCTGGCTTCTTTCACTTAGCATACTGTTTTCAAGGTTCATCCATGATGTAGCATCTATTAGTACCTCATTGCTTTTTATGGGCAAATAATATTCCATTATAAGGGTGTACCACATTTTGTTTATCCATTCATCTACTGATGGATGCTTAGGTTGCATAAACTTTTAGGCTGTTGTGAAGAATGATGCTGAGAACATTCACGTATGAGTTTCTGTGGAGACATATGTTTGTAGTTCTCTTGGATATGTACCTAGGCATGGAATGTCTGGGTGTATGGTCTATCTTTCTTCAAGTAATCATATTAGTAACTTTCCTTCAAGAAAACATATTAGTAAGGAAAAGGGGAACGGGCTTAATCTGGACCCATTAAGAAACAAATGGGTACATATTAGTAGAGAAGCTATGGTCTTTGGGTAACATCTCATTGTTCTCTACTCTCCAGCTGCTAAAGAATGATATAACTAATTTCTGACTTACTAATTTCTGACTTACTTAATTCCCAGTGTTCTCTTACCATGAGACCTGAGGGATGCCGTACCCTCCTGTGACAATCTCTTGAGCCACGATTTCCCCATGGTGGAGGGAGTTATGGGTGTAGCCAGAAAGAAGAAAGATGTTAGAGTTTATAAAAATTTGTATGTGGATGAAAGGCATGGGTGAGTGTAATTCGAAAATATTGATGTTTCCTCCATCCTGCACTGGACTTAGCTTTTATTATAATAAGAGTAGACCTTCACACTGTGGGATGGGGGATGCATTGTGAGGAGGAGGACAAATGGGGGACAGGCAGCAATCTGTGTATGAAAGATGAACACGTGGCTTTGTTTGTGAAATCCTGCAGCTGCTTTTCTAGCAGTGATGTTATTTTGATGAACTTCTGTCTTTGGAACTATTTAGATTTTATTTATGCTAGTATGAAGAGCAATGTCCTGTGAATCAGAGATGTGTTAGACACAGTGAACTTGTCATTTTGGATTGTAATACTAGGAAGGGCCATCACACCAAGAGGAAAGGTACCTCTGCCAGCCCAGAGGAGCCCAGCAAGGACAGATACCAGTTGGAAGTCCATCCGGACTGTGAGAGGACCTGTTTCCGGGTGAGAGGATGGGCTCACTAGAGAAGATTTTTGTCTGTTTGGGATCAGCATGGACCATCCAGAGAAATGGGTTTTCTTCCCACCTCTGTTTCCTTTCTCCTGTAACCAGGGCAGAAGTAAGAAAATCAGCTAATTCCTCATTGAAAAATGTCACTCTTGTCCCTCCACCCCACTCCACCCCCCACACACTCCTCTTCCTTTTCCTCCTCCTCCTCATCATCATCATCATCATCACAGCACCACACAGGGGACCCAGCTGGTCTGCTAAGGTGTTAATGCAGTATAATTTGTATAATTGCCTTTCCTCCTCTGGGATTTTTCCTTTACATATAGGCCTCTGGGGCCTGAGCCCAAAAGAATGTGATAGATGTTGGAATGTAATTTGGTCCTTTTATGTACAAAGCCAAGCCCTCCATTTAGGGCAAGCCGTATCAAGTTAAGCATTGTACTCTAGCTGCAAACTGAATGATGAAATAGTTCTCTTTTGCCACGGAACTTTCTAATACTTTTTTAGAGCAGTTTAGGTTCACAACAAAATTAAGTGAAAAGTACAGAGAGCTCCCTCATAACCACCCCCCCACCCCGGAACAGCCCCCCGCATTATCAACTTCTCCCACCAGAGTCGGACGTTTGTTACAATTGATGATCCTACACTGACACATTATAATCACTCAAAGCCCATCGTTTACATTAGGGTTCACGGTTGTGCATCCTCTGGGTGTGGACAGATGTGTAATGACATGTACCTACCTAATTACAGTGTCACCCAGAATAGTTCATTACCCTAAAACTCTGCCGTGCTCCCCCCGTTCATCCCTCCCTTCCCCTCCCGCCCGGCAATCACTGATCCTGGTTAAAAAGTCTTCCTTTAACACTCAGCCCAGGCGCTCCTGGTCCTTCAGGTTGAACCCAAGTCTGTCTCTACCAGCATGCCTACCCATAGAATTCTGTGGATGATTTTCCTCAAAGCATCGTTGCATTATGATGAGATCCTCTGTTAGTGTGACTGTGTTCCCCACTCAAGGATGGGGGCCGATGGAGAGCATGGCCCATCATAGGCTTGTTGTAATCAGTGTGATGGCAGAGACAGGACTGACCCCCTGTACGTAGTACTCTTTCCACAGGACTTGAAAAATACAGCTCTGTTGTTTTTCTTGTTTAAAGAGAGCTGTCATTACAGTAATTGCTATTTGAAATGTATTGATCAGAAGCAAGGTGTAGTCCATGGTGATATTTTTGAGTGAAATAGACAACTGCCCTAATTCTTAAAAACCTCCTCCAAACATAGAAGGCAAAATATAAATGAAGTCAAGGGACACATGAACATCAATAAAATTAAATAAGTCCATTGAATGATGGTTTCCCAGTCTGTAGTCTGTCTTCACTTTATGATCTGAAGGTCTCCTGTCTCCAGGGATTTTAAAGTATTTCTGAGCAAACAAGAGGTAGTCATGAAGCCATGGTGGTGAGCGGGGAAAGGAGTGAATTGGAAATATTTCTCAAGCAGCCTCTGAGCAATCCTGGAGAGGCAATAATCTACAAGTTTTCAACTCCCCAGATAGGTCAATCTGATGTGGTTTTTACAGGTTCGCAGGAGAGAGGCGGAACCATAAAAAAGAGCGAGCTGGTTTCCAGGACAGTGGCTCCTGGTAATGAGGGGATGGTAAAGAGGTTAAGTTTCAAAGTCCGAATAGAAGTCGCAGCCATGGAATCCAGAGTGATTGCTGCTGAGGCTTTCAAGCCTGTGGATGTGGCCTGCTGTGCACAGACAGCAGCTCTTGGTTTTTAACCGGGAGCAACGTGGCAGTGGAGCACAAAACACATGCAGTGCCTTCTGGGGCTACTGACTCTGCTGGGCTAATGCTCAGAATTAACCGGCAGCTAAATGAGCTAAAAGAAAGGCTCAGAATGTGGGAAACCCTAAGGCAAGCTGGCTGACTAATTAAGAGTATTTTGAACTAGTCCTCCTGTATTGGGTTTTGTTCCAGAGCAAGGTAACCCATCCATCACCAGCTACATAAAGCCCTAGGAAGATCAAGACGGTCACGGTAAGACGAGAAAGTTTAGGATTAAAGCCCTGACCAACGTGACCTGTGCAAGCAGACCGTGGAAGGCGGGGCTACTCAAGTTCTCCTGTGCGCACACCCCACCCAGGGGGCTCGTGGAAATGGGGGCTCGGGTTCAGTAGGTGGGGCTGGGGCCTGGGACCTGCATGTTAAAACAGCAGTGGTGTGGTGCAGAGGCTGCAAATGCAGACACTTAGGCAAACGGTTTGCTTTTTACTCTTTCATAACAGGTCACTAAATTGTCTTTTTTGTAAGGCTCACTGACCAAATAAGTCTGCTGTTAAACAGCCCTGTTCATTTCTGGAGGGTTTAGAAATAAAATTCTGATTTATTTAAGAAAAAAGAAAGGGAGTAGAACTTTCTTCATCGATGGCATCATGAAACAGCCATTTAAAGAAACTCCAGATTCAGTTGTCTCATTTGGGCTGAAAATACAATACCATGTATTTTATTGATGCTTCTGATTTCTTGTTTTAAATTTTTATTTTATTGTTCAAAGTATTACGTATAGTAGTACATATATCTTCTTTTTTCATTTTTTTAAAATATGTTTTTACTGATTAGGGAGAGACAAAAGGAGAGAGAGAGAGAGAGAGATACATCGATGTGAGAGAGAAACATTGATCAGCTGCCTCCTGCTTGCCCCTACTGGGAGTCAAGCTATAACCTGGTCATGTGCCCTTTAAACTAGCACCTTTTGGTGCAAGGGACAACACTCATCCAACTGAACCACACAGGGAAGGGGATGCTTCTGATTATTGAATGAAGTTAAACTAAATCCAGTATGTTGCCTACATATAACAGGAGTAACAGCAAAAACAAAACAAGCAAAAAAAAAAAAAATGTTTAGCTAGCAGATCCATAGAACAATCACTGTTCTGGTTAAAACTTGAAAACAGTGGCTGGCAGATTTGAGCATCAGATGGTCATTAGTCCAGGACCATCTTGCATTTGGACAAGAACTATCACATGGTCACCACACAGAGTTTGAAGCCAAACTCGCTGAATTCTAATCCAATGAGTCCCACCATTTACTGACTATATGCAATAGTTTACTCCCCTGTAAAATGGGTCTGTACTCTACAGATATTACTGGATTAGGTAACGTCTGTAAAGCTCTTAGAACAGTGGCCAGCACACCTCCGAGCTGTATAAATGCTTGTTAAATATAGGACTAAGATAAAGTGAGTTCATGCCATGTCTTAGTTGCTCTGTGGAATCCAGAAGGCCTATTTCTCTTTTTTGCCAATTAAATATCACTCTGAAAGCCTTTCCCAGTAGATAGCTGGGTCCGAAAGAAAAAGCTCTCCAGCCAACAAACAGAGAAACCCGAAACAAATTCATGGAGCGTATGAGTTCATTGATTTTACTTGTTCAGTTAGACTCACCTCAGTCCTTTGGGTTTGCAGCTGGTGATGTACATTGGCCAGGTGGCCAAGGATATCCTGAAGTGGCCCCGCCCCTTCTCCCCTCCGGTGGTGAAACTGGAGAAGAGAGTGATTGCTGAGTATGGAATGCCATCTACCCATGCCATGGCGGCCACCGCTATTTCCTTCACCCTCCTCATCTCCACGATGGACAGATACCAGGTAAGGTGCCCGACTCCTCTCCCTCCCATGGAAGGCTCTCCACCCAGTGAGTGAACAGAGAGAGGTTCCTCTTCAGAGTTTTCTTTCAAAGCTGCTGTGAGGGACTTTGAGGTTCATGAAATGAAGCCTAAGGAGAATTGAAACCCTAGTGAGCTGCTGTCAACACTGTCTTCATAAGTAAAGTGACCCTATGATTTAGCATCCAAGTCAGGTTATGCCTAAAAAGCATGAAAGTGGACACCATTAATAATTATATCAGCTTAATAGGGACTGTCTGGGGACCAGGGTGTGGGGACTCCCCCTTCAGAAAGCATTTCCCCCTGAACTGCTGAGATAGCACTGGAATGGGTGTTCACATCCTGTTTGCAAAAGAGGCATTTATGAGTTTAATATAAATATAACTTATTGTGATGAAGGGTTTCATTTGTAGAATGTGGCTAATGATAGACCCTACCTCATAGGGTTGGGTGAAGATGAAATGAGATTGTGACTAAAAAGCGCTTTGCATACTATAGACAGTTCTCCATTATCTTTATTCTTCTCCATGGGAGACCACAGGCATTAGACCTGGAAGCACATGGGTTATATCTCCATGTGTAGCTCATAAGCAGGATATTCGTATGTTCTTATATGATTCGGCACCAGCCACATTCCTTGGTCTGCTGTCCCACCAGCAAATGTTGAGATGTGGTAAAGTTGATTCAGCCTTGGCATCTGGGCATAGATATGCCCATGCTTAGCCTGGGCCCATTGTTGCCAAGCTTCCTCACCGCAGTGTAAAGTAGGTGACTGGACTTCCCGATCCTAGCGCTGTCCGTCTGGCCCCTTACTCACACTGTATACTTCATACATTTCACTCTAAGCATAGGTGGAAACAAATAACTATCCCCTCCACTGATGCAGCCAGCACAGTAGTCATGGACATGAGTCTTCAAGCCCCGTTCTACTATGTCTCATGTGAAACTTCCTCCCAGAACTAGATCCATTGGCATCTTCCCCTTTCTTCCCTCTGTCTCCCCTTTTCCACGTATTTCAGGTCATCAGGCCGCTGGCCCAGGGCATGCGAGGTCGAGACCAGCAGTCACTGGATGGGGAGTCCTGTCCCCTTCTATCGCACTGACTGTGAGTGTGAGAATGCGAGCTCACGCCCTTGTTGCATTTTTCTCCCCGCAGTATCCCTTCGCTCTGGGGCTGGCGATGGCTGTGACGTTCTCTGCGTTGGTGTGTCTCAGCAGGCTCTACACTGGGATGCACACAGTCCTGGTAAGACATTTTGGTTGGGTCTTGGAGTGATCGTCTGTGTGGTATTGTGGCTGCCGTGTCAGTGTGTTCTTCACACGGTATTTTTTATAAAGCTGTTTGCATATGTAATTACATTTTCCATCAGGCCAGTGAGTTAAGTAATTATTATTTTATGGCACATTCATAATGTAATGAATTATTAAGATAATATCAAGAGAGGCTGAGCTGGGCTGGATCCTCGTGACTTTGAAGATGGGCTGGAACAGTGACAGAGACTTGCGTCACTTATTTTCATGCTTGTTTACTGCTGATCAAGCAAGCAGTGCAAGGAAACACCCAGGGCCAAGGATGGGATGAGCAGCTGCAGTTCCCCACTGAGGTCCTTGCAGAGATGGGTCTGAATTTCAGGGATCTCAGCTGGCCTTGCAGATAAGGGTCCCACCAGGTCGGAAGAGCCCAGAATCCTTTTGTACTGTCCTGGATGGAAGTGGTGGGAGTACAGAGACACACATTTATTTATCCACCCATTGTCAGGCCCCTGAGCCTCCTTGAAAGGTTCTTTGCAGCCCACATGGTGCAACAGTTGTCATAGGCCTTAGTGGTTATGGTCTTCCAGTTTAATCCTTAATGGTAAATATATCTAGCTATTTGGGTTATTGCTTGAATAGGATCACCTGCATTTAAAGATCTGCCCACCCTGTTACGATCTTAGGGATTGTTTTTCTGGGCTGCCATGCTGGGCACAGTTAAAATGACATAGCATTCTATTTCCTAGAGGACCGCCAGTTGCATGGGTTTCAAAAAGCTTACGGTTTTTGTCCTTTTATTGTTTGGGGAATCAACTTAAAAATTCACCAGTCACTGATGTATCAGTAAAATTCTTCTCGGTTGCTAAAACCCTATCTCCCAAGCCTGGATGGAAAGGAAACCAAATTCTCAACAGAATTAATCCCCATCCTGACACAAATGGCAGGGAAGTGATAGTCTCTATCACTTAGGTCATCCAGCCTCATCAAAGACGTTGCACAGCCGTGTTTGACATTGCTAGGATGGTCTGCAGAGCAGCACTGATATTTTTAAGAGTCCTGGTGTGATCCAGGTTGCAAAGCATTCGCTCATGGAGTTCTGCTTTTGCACAGGGAGCCAGGCCTCAAGGGTTCAAGCCCACCTGCCCCAGGTCAGGGCTAAAGGAGTGGGAGGATTTTCTTTTGCTTTCAGCGTGAGATCCAGGTCACAGGGTCTGCCAGACTTTTCAGATCTTTCTCTTACACCGCTTTGTGTATCCATTTTTTCTACATCAGAGTATCACTTTAGGATTTTCAAAGGTGATTCTATCACTTTTAAGTACAAAAATTCCTGTCATTCAGAGGTTTTTGTTATTTTATGTGTTGCAACAACAACAAATCACTCTGAAAGCTCAGACCTGCCACATTCGATGAGGAGCCTGCATTGGCCTTGGGATTCAGCAAGGTGAGACAGTCTTTGCCATTCACATTGGGGTTCCAGAACCACAGCTTCGCATCACCTAGGAGCTGATTAGAAATGCATATTCTCAGGCCCCACCTGGACCTACGAAATCAAAACCTGCGTTTTAACAAGCTTCCCACCGGCTCTAATGTGAGATACGGTTTGAAAAGCTTGGAAACTGTCTCTGCTCACATCCCAGCAAATACGGGGAGAAGGCCAATTAAATTTCAAGCTGCATGGGCCTGTGTAACAGTTACAACCCCTCGAACCTGGTTGCTCAGAGGCCCTCTGCCCACCATAGTTGAGAAGCATCGCTGAGACGCCGGGCCGTGTCTTCCAGCAGATTGCCCTTCCCTGCACTTGTCATTCCTGCAGGCTGCCCAGCAGGTCTCCATGAGGACGTTACAACCTGCCTGGCAGCTTGTTGCAGCTGATGTCCCAATCCCCTGGGCCTCCCACACCCTGTAATTCTTCATAGCTAGAGCTATTCGTATTCATGTGAATTATACGGGGGCGGAGGAGCGGGAATCTTGTGTGTTTCATGAAGCTCTATTGTTGGACCTTAGATTTCTGTGAAGCCAAGATAAGAAAGTGATTATTTCCTAAATCATGTGGTACCCTTACACGGAAAAGAATTTAGAAATATACAGTATAGCTAAATATCTTTCTAGTTAATATTATAAAAGCGTGGGATAATATATATTTATATCATCATATTAAGAAACAAAATGCCTGTCTTATTTACTCTTTTAGCACACCAGTGCCATTAGAGAAAACATACAAAAGAAAACGAGATAAAACTGGTCATTGTTGTCATGTGAAATATGCAGATTCACTCATTCAAGATAATTAGTCATATGAATAAACATTGAAATCTCTGCTTGTAGTGTATAATCTTGAAATGGTAAAATCATACTCTTGTCCAAATATAAAACGAGTAGGTGTCAAAGACTTCATTCAACTCATTAATTGGTGAAGGAGCCAATTAAAGAACTAAATATTTACAGATCATTTAACAAAGAAATATTATTTTAAGATTGCTGGGCTGTATACAAGACTAATTATTGTCCTACAGGCTGTAACCTTTGGGGTTATAATTTCCACTGAACAGAAACTGTTTGCATCTCTACCAAACAAAGATCTATCAGCTATCACTTCACTATATCTGAGACCTTTAATCCTTAGTAAACAGTGAGCTAAACAAAACACTTTCCCTTCTATAATCCTTTGCCCCCATATGACACTGCAGTATTTTTGTCATATATTCAAGTTTTATATAATTCTTCACAACATACTTGTAGAAATCTATTTTTTTTTTAAATATATTTTATTGATTTTGTACAGAGAGGAAGGGAGAGAGATAGAGAGTTAGAAACATCGATGAGAGAGAGTCATCGATCAGTTGCCTCTTGCACACCCCCTACTGGGGATATGCCCGCAACCAAGGTACATGCCCTTGACTGGAATCGAACCCGGGTCCCTTCAGTCCCCAAGCCGACGCTCTATCCATTGAGCTAAACCAGTCCCGGCAGAAATCTATTTTTGTTAGTATGTCACCATCATTTTTGTTAATCCTCAACAGAGATATTTTTTTAATTGATTTTTAGAGAGAGAGGAAGGGAGACAGAGAAAACATCAATTAGTTGCCTCCTGTACACCATCCCCCACCCCAACCAAGGATCCAACCCACAACCTAGCTATGTGTCCTGTCCAGGAATCAAACCCGCAATCTTTTGGCGCATACGATGGCGCTCCAACCAACTGAGCTGCCGGGCCAGAGCATGTCACTATGATTTTTAATGAAGGTTTAAATATGCTCACTCTCCAAGCAGGCATTCATTCTCAAATTGCAGAAGGTGAATGCTGGCATGCTTTTTCTAACTCATATAGTTACTCCAGAGCTTCAGTGAGTTTTCAAATAGTCTTTTTCAAAGCTTTCTTATAGATGGCCATGCCTAGTGAAACCGAGCCCTAGATTTGGGCTCATAAATCTGAGGGGGTTCAGAGAAGTCCTGACAAAGGGGAAGGGACACAGGGACAGTGTCCACGTATAGCCATGAATATCAGGTAGTTCTGTTGCTCACGCTCACACCACGTGCTTCCTGCTTCTGCCTGATCCTGTGGACATCAGTGTGTTTCAATAGGAAATTAGTATTTTTGATCATAGGCATTCACTCTTTCTCTCCTGTACATATGCTAATTATGTGACATGTAGGTTTCTCTCTGCAATCATTTATATTCATAATCATATGGCTTCTATTTGGCTTCTATTGAATCTCATCTGCATTATTCTCAGGAATTCGATTAATGGTGAGCTGATATGGAAAAGAGTATCGGAGTGTGTCAACTAGGCAACATTGACTGGTCTATAACTTCAAATTATTTTCTAGAATAATTACAGTGTTTGAGGGTAGGGGTTTTTGGGTTTTTTTTGTGGGGGAGGGGTGGTGATTTGTTGTTTTAATGTCAGGGTCTGCTGGATTTCAGAGCTCTTGCAGCATCTACAAAGAAGCGGGTCCTGGCTTTTACTTCCCTCCTGGCTTCAGCTCTCTCTGTAAAGGCAGCCAAGGGCAGAGAGGGTCCTTCACGTTCTCAGCAGGGGACCTAGCAGAGGGGAAGATGCTTGAATCATAGAGTTTTCAGCATAAATGGCATCCAAGATCTGAATGCATTCTTTCCTAACAATTGAATGAATGGGTTGGTTCTGGGCCCCTTCTTTCTCCTTAGCTAATCCTGTGTTGTATTAGTCGCTCAAAAGCATTCTTCAGGGAAGATGTTTGGAGATAGAATGCGAATTTGTCTGCTGTGAACTGCATATGGCACTGGGATGTAGAGACAGAACTCACAAACTGGGAGTTTTCTGGATGAGGGCCTGCTGTTGAAACATCTAGAGGTGTTCGCCAAAAGGAGTGTTCTTTTTGCTAAGAATAGGATCACTATTTTATGTGTTGATATAAGCATTCGCTAACATTTGTCTTGATGCTTAGGGTGGATCTATTAGCATTCTTTCCCGACACCTTTGTCTATATTGTTGTTTTTGTAATGAGAGATAATAAAGCTCAAGCTTTTATCTGAATATTAAGTTTTATAACCAGAATGATAGTAGGTACAATAATCGAAGGGACGTAGATCTTTAGAAAATATTAGTTTCTTCTTTAAATAATTTTATTTCTTTTTAAATAATTTGAAAGTCTTTAAACCTTGGAAAGTTGGGTTAAAGATTGGTTATATTTCAAACAATGTGAACTGTAGAACAGCACTGACAACCTCTCTTGTGCGCTTTTGTCTTAAATGTTACATCATGGGGCAATGATGTGTTGATTATCATATAGATTTTTGGCGGCATTTCCACTTTTGGCATGATGTAAAAATTTATCAGTATTTGTTATTTCTACTTTTGTCCATTTTGAAACGTTCTGATTTTAACATCCTGATTGCTTCTCTTTGATTACATTTTTAACGTAATAAAACCAGCAGGTGTTCACTAGAAAATTTAGAGAATACTGCAAAGCATGGAGAAGATAATCATCACCTGTAACATCAAAACAGAAAAA